CCGTTCAAGAGGCCACTGTCATCATTGAAGAGGTCCCTCCCACCATTCAAGAGCCCGATTCACATGGCGTCATATGTAGGCTTCTTGAGAAACCCTCTGACGTGCCGGACATGATGGATTCAAGTTGGCTCTTGTATGAGTTACCGGCCAGTACCATACCGGTATCTGAAGAGGAGAGGGAACAACTACCGGACACAATTCTGGATAACACCCTTTGGGCTAAGACCGCTGTTGATTTTTATCTACATGAGCGGAGCCAGGGGTGTTTCACTGACATATGCAAGCTCACCGATGATATCTATTTGTTGCTTGATCGGTCTTGGTGGGGCGTATTATTAGGGGTCGAAGACAATGGCTATTTCGATGGGGGGGTAAGTCTTATATTTTTCTTATATTTCAATTTGATTAATTTTTTTTTTAAATTTATGTAAGTCACTAATATATGTCTTTTTTTGTAAAACAGCATATCGATGCGTGGGTGACACGTCTTCTAATAATAAGAAAACTTAAGAAAAATAAAAATATACGATATACAATTATGCCGACGTCTTTTCACGCCGTTCACTTGAAGAATGCACGAAATGAATCATTTGATTTGGGCAATGGACAAGCTAAACTTTATCCTGCATGGTGGGAGGTCGATAAGGTTAGTATTTATTTTAGATTGAGTTTAAAGGTTTTATGAAATAAGTGCGCAAATGAATGAATTATTACTTATGATTGCAGGTGTTTATCCCTGTTTTGGAACGTAAACATTGGATTCTCGTCGAGCTTCAGCTCCCATCCCTTAAGACAATAGTGTATGACAGCATGATAAATTACATATCATTGGCTGATTTAAGAGATGTTATTAAGGGATGGAGCTCTCATTTGGCTAAATTCTTGGATGCGATCAATTATTGGACTCGTTCTGGAAACAAGAAGCCAAAGAAGCTCAATATTACAGTTATTAGAGACGAGACCGCGCCACAACAAACGAGCGGAGCCAGAGGAGATTGTGGTCCTCTCGTATGCTTGGCGTTGGAGCGTTTGACGACGGGAAGCATCAAGTATCTACCTCCCACCGATAGAGATAAAGCTGCAGTAGGCTTGTGGTTTCGACATTATATGGCTAAATCGATATATACGAGACGCTGCCTACCTGCATCCGCGTTATAAAAATGTCCATAAACAATTGGTAAGTTTATATACTTTTGGTTTGAAAATGTTTGGTTAAGTACCTAGAATTCAATAATTTGCTGTTTGTAGGTTTTAGATGTGTAGAAAGTGTTGTTTGAACAAATGTTTGGTTTCTGCAGGTTAATCTCAGAAGTGAACTGCGTGAAAATGATGTCGAGCTGCAAAAGTTGATTCAATAGTTTAATTGATTGTTTTTTGATTGTTTAATTGATTTGTAAAAGTTGATTCAATAGTAGATGATCGGAAATAAGAATTATTGCTTATTTTTTGATTGTTTAATTGATTTGTAAAAGATGATTTGTAAAAGTTGATTTGTGTAATTGATGCGAATATAATTCTTATTTGTGCTTGTTTAATTGATTGAAATGTAATGGTTGATTTTGTTGATTTCAATCTGCATTATGTTGAAGGCAAAATTGACTATCGCAATGCGAAATGAAAATCGCAATGCGAAATGAAAATCGCAACGAGAGAATCGCAATGCGAAATGAAAATCGCAATGCGGAAATGAAAATCGCAATGGGAGAATCGCAATGCGATTTTAATTTCGCATTGCGATTATCTCGTTGCGATTTTCATTTCGCATTGCGATTTTCATTTCGCATTGCGATTCTCTCGTTGCGATTTTCATTTCGCATTGCGATTCTCTCGTTGCGATTTTCATTTCCGCATTGCGAAATGTAATGGTTGATTTTGTTGATTTCAATCTGCATTATGTTGAAGGCAAAATTGACTATCGCAATGCGAAATGAAAATCGCAATGCGAAATGAAAATCGCAACGAGAGAATCGCAATGCGATTTTCATTTCGCATTGCGATTCTCTCGTTGCGATTGTAATTTCCGTGTTGCGATAGTCAAATGCATGCCTAATAGTGATAACAACTGAATAACAAGAGTTGGTTAAGTCAAAATGGTTGGCCTGAGTCATTAATTCAACTGAAAATGTTAAAAGTTCACACATAAAATCCACATAATACAACGTTTGCATTTAAAAATCACCTAAGTTAACAGTCCCAAAAGGTGAAGCCAATTGTGATTGGGATTTTAAAGATGGTTGCCTTTTGCTTGACACCATATGAGCTTTGGATTTTGATGAGGATCCATATTTTGGTAGAGGAAAAGATGATTTTGATGGCACTGGTGATCCACATGTCAACCTTGTATGACCACTTTCCTTGCACCGACTACATGTCGATCTCTTCTTCTCTTCACCCTTAGACGGTATACGATCGTGACTTTTTGGTCGGCCAGGTAGCCTTCTGTCCATGGCTGGTGGCAAAACTGTTTGTAAGTCATCTGGTATGTCCCACTCAGAAGGATGTGGAATAGGGTAGACAATCTCGGCATAAGTCTGTCGATAAACTTCTGTAGTGTAGCAATCCATAGCGTATGCGCTTGAATCATCTTGGTTTAAATGAAGAGCAACTTTTGACCAAGATGTTCAACATGTTCATTCACAGTCGTAACTTCCTCCTCATTATCATCAACAACATCTTCCTCGGCAACGGGTGTTTCATCATCAAAATTCGGGTATTGACCAATATGAAAATCATTACACACATGGTCTGTTTCTTCTTCTGAAACATCATCAAAATCCGTGTATTGACCAATATCAAAGTCCGGATATTGACCAAGACCAAATTTCGAATACTGACTAGTACTCACAATTTTTTCTGTTGGCTCATCATCGTCTAACTGGTCAATACGAAAACCGGAATTTGGTGCTGAAAGTTGATTGGGATTTGGATTAGAGAAAGGTTGTGGGTTTTGAGAAAAACTTAGTTGATTACTACCCGCTACTGACCCAACAATACTACTTCTAGGTTCAACAACATACAATGTAACATCATCTTGTGAAACACTAATGTAAGCAATGAATCGTTCAACATCTTCATTGTCGGTTAACAAATAAACTTTACCATTTCTCTGATAAGATAGCCTAAATCCACTTAGGGGCTCTAAATTCAATTTATTTGAAACACGTAGCATTAGAGTTTCATAAGTTAACTTTTGTAAAGACAATTTTAGTTGAAGATTCATGGGTAAAGGCATATATTGTAAAACACCATGAACATTATCCCATGACCCTCCAAAACACAAATCTATCCAAACATGATCAACATTAGATGATTTCATGGTTGTAAATTAATTTACTAAACAGACGAGCTGCGAAACTAAAACCTGTTGCCGGATTGGGAAGGATGTCGTTGGATATAGGAACGGATGTCGCCGGAGAGAGTGATAGATGGAGATGGAATGAGTTGCGATTTAGGGATTTAGTTTATGATTTCAGTGTTATATACCCAAAATTTCAGTGTTGTGATTTACAGATTCTCGTTGCGATTTACGGATTATCGTTGCGATTTACAGATTCTCGTTGCGATTTACGGATTATCGTTGCGATTTACAGATTCTCGTTGCGATTTACGGATACGCATTGCGATATACGGATACGCATTGCGATTTACCCATATGCGTTGCGATTTACGGATACGCGTTGCGATTTACGGATACGCGTTGCGATTTATGTGTTCGCGTTGCGATTTTCATATTCGCGTTGCGATTTTGGAAAATCGCAATGCGAATTTGTACTATCGCATTGCGATTTTCAAGAATCGCGTTGCGATTTTGGAAACTGATTTGCGATTCTGGGGATCGCGTTGCGATTTTTATTTCGCGTTGCGATTTTGTTGGTCATTTTGGCAAATCCAAAAAAAGTTGGTTAAAATCGTATATTATAACTTTTTTTTGGTCACTGAGGCGATTTTCTCTTATAATTTAACCTAAAGAAAATTTCAAAGTTACCCAAATAAGAATTTAATAGAAGAGAATTGTAACATAGCAGCAGTTAATTGAGAACTCAAATCCTACATAGTTTAGGCCTTAGGGACAGCTTTTAAGATAAGTTATAGGTAATTTCCTTCTTTTACTGCTTTATGAGAAAAGCCAAAAGCTGCCCCCTTTCAACAAGATAAGAGTATTTGGGAAAATTTTAGATTTATTTATTAGGTAAATTACACATTTAGTATATAAATTATTTTTTTATTTCATTTAGTAGCTAAATTTTATTTTTATTCAAAATCATATCTAACGTTTAGTCTATGTTTTAATTTGATACCCGCCATTAAAAACTTCATGGCATCGATGACGTGTCCAGGACCACGTGGTTAAAAGCCACACACTCTAACTCTACCGACTAAGCTTAGACGATTTCGATTGGTTTCTGCCTTGATTCTTTTATAATCATTATGTAAACATATAAGGGTAAACTATATGTTTAGTACTTAAACTATCATTTTTATTCCATTTTAGTACTTAAACTATCACTTTTATCTATTTTAGTACCTAAACTTTATTCTTTTTTATATCATATTTAACATTTAGTTTAAATTTTAATTTGATACACTATCGTTAAAAACTTAACGACAATGATGACATAAAAGTTACATTATAAGACATGTAGAATATCAAAAATGGAAAAATAATTTTGCATCATCGCTTAAGCTAAGTTTTTAACTGTAGGATACCAAGTTGAAACATAAACTAAATGTTAGGTATAATTTTGAAAAAAATAAAGTTCAAGGGATAAACTGAAACCAAAATGATAATTTAGGTACTACACATGTAATTTTCTCCTATTTATTTACAAATAGACTATAAAAAACGAAGTCAGAAACCAATCGAAGCCGTCTTAGCTCAGCCGGTAGAGCGCGTGGCTTTTAACCACGTGGTCGTGGGTTCGATTCCCACAGACGGCGCTTTTAAAGTTTTCCCCATAAAAGACAAAATTTAGCAATTCCTATTATCCACCCAATATTCTTGGATTTCCTTTTTTGCTTATTTCTGAGAATAACAAAAGCTGTCTCTCAGCTTTCGATTTCTTTTCCAAAAAACAATGGATTGCGAGTCCGCCATCTCTCCCTACTATCTTCTCTTCCAAGCTCTTGCTTTAATCCCCGTCTCCCATTATTTCCTCGCCGCCTTCTTTGTATTCCTCGTTTTTCTGTACAACTTTCTGGAGATTCATTTCCTTCACGATTTGCTCACTTTTTTCAGAGGCGATCCCGTTACATTAACTTACAACTCAAGCTCCGACCTCGGCCGATCAGTAGCCGCCAAGTGTAAGATATTCCAACAAAGGTAACACTATTAGTTTTAGGTCTATTTATCAATTCTATCCTTCTACTTTACGATAACTGAGAGATTAGTCCTCAACTTTAGTATTAACAGCTGATTTACACTCAATAATTATCTATATAAAATTATTGAACTGAACTGCCGATTTTTGTTATTTTTGGCATTACTGAACTGAGAGGATTTTCATATTAGCTATTTAACAATAAGGTTTGGTATTACTTGTTTCAACTATTTTTTTCAGTTTTCATAGCGTTTGAGGATTACATTTACATTCGGACGAATTTGAGGATTAGCTTCTCAGTTTTCGTAAAGTGTAGGATGAATTTCATAATTATACCTTTACTTTTGTGGCGAGATTTCTCTGTTAATTAGTCGAAATAGAATTTACATCTTCTACTTGTTTGCGATTTTGTTCAACAACTGTGCAGGTACTTGGTCACTCCATGGCTTTCAAGTCCTCATATTCAGACGGCCTTCTTGACTTTTCACGGAAGGCCTCCTCCAGTTACTTATAGACGGTTAGTTCAATTCTTTTATATTTCATTTTTTAAATCCATGTTTTGAACTTCATTTTTTTTGGGAGGAATGGAATGTTAATATGCAAAGTGTTTTTTATTCTTAGACATTTATTCCGTGCTTTTGATGGTGGAACAATTGCTCTGGACTGGCTAACTTATTCGGATGGTTAGATTTTATTCATCTTCCCGTTATTTTATTTCTTTTATTTTTAATTAGCTTGGTCATTTAGAACATTTATGTAATTCAAATTTAAAGAATGGGGGTGAGTTCCCTCTTTAATATGATAGATACGACTTAAGTTTTAATATTATGAATCTGTAACTAATAACAGTTCTGGAGGGTTCCGATGGCGTAATTGATGGTTCCACTGCTCGTAAAGATGATAAAACTCCTATTGTCATTGTCATTCCTGGCTTGACCAGCGATTCTATTGCTGCGGTAGGTTTATATATATATATATATATATATATATTTTTGATAGAAGTTTATATATATATGATATGATATTTTATTTATATTTTCCGTTGAAGTACCTAAAGAAGAGTTGCTGTGTTCACAGTATGTGAAGCATCTTGCATTCAACATGGCAAGACAGGGTTGGAATGTTGTTGTAAGCAATCATCGTGGTCTAGGAGGTGTATCTCTAACAGTGAGTTTCTTATGGAACCCCCTTTTTGGCCTAGATTCTGAATCATCTTAGTCTTATGAGAAATTACCATTTTCAAATTTCTGAAGTCTACCTAAATGATTTTATTTTCAGTCTGATTGCTGTTATAATGCTGGATGGACTGAAGATGTACGGAAAGTCATTGACCATATACGTTGTGAATATCCAGAAGCTCCTCTATATGCTGTCGGAACTAGCATTGGTGCCAATATTCTGGTATATGAATTCTTCTGATTACATTTATGAGAATCACAAATGTGGAAAAGATCCAATGTCCGTCAAGCTATCTTCGTAGCCTGATGGTTATGAATGGGTTTTTTAATGAGGCCTCCTATTTTTATCAAAAAAAAAAAGTGGAAAAGCATTAGAACTTTCATTTCATCTTGAAAATTTTCCTTGGACATGATCGTGCTTCTATTTTTCTTTTCTAACTGCATAATCTGTGAAGATCTATTGCAGTTTAGCTGAAAATTTACTACTTTTAACTTTAAGATGAATATTTACTTTTTGTCCCATCTGCTCCTGTCAGGCTAGGTAAAAGAAATGTCAAATCTTATACTGGTTTTAATTTTAAATTATGAATATAAACCCATTTTCTGTTTGTTCGTAATGCACAATATTTTCTATAAGAGACAATTGTGGTTTAGACCAAGCCTTTTAGGTTCAATGTAATTGTTGTAATGTCCTTGTCCTGTTTGACTAATGATCTCCGTACTTCTAAATTCTTAACATTTTGTTTTTATAAATACAGAGTTGTTTAATTGTTTTATATACTGTTTGAAAGCCTAAATATATGCTTTCTCCTTTCAGGTTAAATATCTTGGAGAGGATGGCGCAAATACTCCTGTTGTTGGGGCTGCGGCTATATGCTCTCCTTGGGACCTCTTGGTTAGTGTTTTTATTACTATCGCACAACCAAGTCTCTGATCTCTATTTCATCTGCATTTTTCAAATTTTATATCCTCTTTTGCTCCTACTCTCTGTAAAGTTTTATCACAAATAATACATCCACTTTTCCCCTAAAATAGAAGAACAGGTAAAGAGAGAGAAAGATGATAAATAATAAGTGAACTTAACTATCCTTATTGAGAATAAAGTTCCCTGCATTTTGTTGTGAGGCAATTGCTCTTCAAAACCCCATCCGATGGTTGAAGTTTAGAAGAACAAACAGGGAGAGTTAACTGGCATTTTGTTGATATGGTCCCTGATGACTTAAACAAAACTGGAAAATTATCTGAGTTTGGTGATTTTAGCTCAGGCAGCTGGTTTTGGGATATACATTTAAGAAGGGAATTGAATGATTGGGAATATGAGCAGTGGTCTAATTTGATGACAATTATTTCAAATATTTCCCTTTCGGTTGATTCATCTGACGTATTGGTCTGGAAAGGCACTGGAGATGGGGTATTTACTGTGAAATCTTGTGTTAGTCAGTGTTATTCAGGGACCTCAAGTTCATCAGATGTTAATTTCTAGAAGAATGTTGTTTGGAGTGGATTACTGCCTCCAAGAGTGGAGACATTTGTATGGCAAGTTGTTCTATAGAAGTTGGCAGTGAAGTCAGCTCTTGTTAAAAGAGGTATGATGGGTATAGATGACTTGTTGTGTCCTTTTTGCAAGCAGTTTGATGAGACACCCTCCCATTTATTTTTTACTTGTTCGGTGGTTTGGAGCATTTGGAATAAATTCATTAGGTTCTGGAACATTCAATCTGTCTTTCATGTTGATGCAAAAATATTTCTCCTAGCATGGGCTGATTTGAGGATTAATTCAACCATATGGTCATTTATTCCAGGGGTTGTCCTATGAACAATTTGGAAATTCAGAAATTATATTGTTTTTGAAGGAGGAAAGGTAGATCAAGCAGAACTCTTCTTTTTAGCTAGATTCAGGCTAGCTTCATGGTACTTAGCTAAGTACAAATAGGTTTCGATCTCTAAGGATTTGTTTATTTCAGATCCTTCCTTAGGGGATTCATGTTCTCCTAACTCCAAACTGATTCCAACTGTGATTAATTGGTCCCCTCCCCCAAAGGGCTTCATCAAATTAAATGTCGATGCTGCTACTACTACTGACTGGAAGAGAAGTGGGATAGGTGGTGTTTTGAGAGATGATAACGGGACAATCATTGACTCTTACAAGGAATCCGCAGGTCCTGGTCCTCCTACTTTGATGGAATTGAAATCTATCCTAAAGGGCTTATCTTTCTTTCACACTATACGACACAGATTAAAGGATCGATTGATAATTGAGAGTGACTGCAGGGTGGCAGTTGACTGGGTTAGGGATTTCGTTTCATGTCCTGCTGTTTATGCTTACATTGTTAAAGATATTATTGAAAAACTTAGACTGTGTGAAGGTGTTATTAGATGGGTTAATAGGGCAGCAAATCTAGAGGCGGACGCTCTAGCTAAGGCTGGAATTGGTTAATATTTATGTTGTTTTTAAGGTTGTAACTATTTAGGTTTTTGATTTCCTTCAAGGAGTTTTAGGTTTTTGTAATATATTGTATTAAGTTTATTATTAATAAATTCCAAGGCACTCTTTTCCTCCTTCCGCTGATTAATGAACTTTTTCAGAGTTTCATTAATCATGAAGGGGGTTTTTAATGAGGCCTAATATTCCTATAAAAAAAAATATGGTCCTTGATGACCTAACCTAGTAACCAATTAATTCCCTGCCTTACAGTAACTATATCAGTTGAAAACATGCTGTTTCGTTTGCGCTTAAATGTGTCATCATTTCTTAATGCAGATATAAGGAGAGAACACCTTCTGCAGTTCTGCTACTGCCACCATTGCCAAGTCTGTCATGGATGGCCAATGGCTGTAGTGGCAGCAGTAGGACCACTTTCTGCTTAAAATCAATCTATCTTACTCTGTGTCTTCGTTTATCTCACGAACTCCTAACCAAGATGCTGCCACTTCTTCCTGTTTTAGTAAGGTTTGTCAATATTTTTCCTGCAGGTATGTGATAGGTTCATCAACCGTCGACCTATGCAGAAAATTTATGATAGAGCACTAACAGTTGGCCTGCAAGGTTATGCACAATTGTACGTCCGCATTACTTCATTTTGCATAATCATTTTACTTACTTTAGAGGTTACATTTACATAATATACTTTGTGGTTTCATGCAGACATCAGTCTATCTTGTCTCGTCTTGTAAATTGGGAAGGAGTTGAAAAGGTACTCAAGTTTCCTGCTGTATGTGAAAGCAAGCAAGCCAATCACATAGCAGAAGCATTTTAGAGGGATAATACAATAAGTTGGTGTTAAATTGCTTCCTTCTTTAGTGCAGATAGTATTTATTTAGAAATAAATTTAGTAGGTCCTCAAATGGCAATAAACTCTTGCACCAAATCAAATGCCTCACCTCATATTATTTCATACTACTTTAGTCGTAACATTGTTTGAAAGAAATTTTCTGCTTGTCAGTTATCCCACTGAAAAGTCTCCTAATTCTTTTCTTCTTCTGTTTTCGCAGTCAAGCTCTCTTAGGGACTTTGACAACCATGCTACTCGAATTCTTGGAAAATTTGAGGTAAAAAAAACTATTTTTTTTTCTTTCCATACTTCCAATCTAATAAAGGCTTCCTTGTGTGTCAGACTGTGGATACGTATTATAGGCGATCAAGCAGTATTAATTATATAGAAAATGTGTCAGTGCCTCTTCTCTGTGTCAGCGCCATGGATGATCCAGTATGCACCAGTGAAGCTATTCCATGGGATGAATGTAGGTAAGAAATGACTCATCATTCTCTGATTTACCTTTTCTTTGCCGTCTCCCTTTTCAGGGGCACTTGATTCTAGTGAGAGAAACCACTTGATTCCTTAATAATATTAATGAATTAAATTTGCAGTTCCAGTATGAGCATGACATTATAGATTTATATGTCCTCCATGACATCTCAATTAATAAAGCAGTTACAAGAAGGATAACATTATACTTCACTTGTTTCTTTAAAAGCTAACCATCCATTTGGTTTTACGTCTAGGGTCAATGAAAATATTGTCCTAGCTACTACGCCACATGGAGGACATCTGGCTTACTATGAGGGGATAACAGCTTCTGGCATATGGTAATCCCTTTTTTATCCCAAGATACCTATAATTGGCATGTTCAATAATATAAACACACATCTTTATGTATATCATTTTAACAATTTCACATATCTAACCAGAAAACTCGTATTCAAGTTTCTACTTTACCCTGGAGCTGGTGGGTTTGTTAATGAAAATTAACCCGTAGTATTCGTGACTGTGCATCTCGTGTGACATAAATTTGTCATACAAGCAGCCTTTTCTGATTATGGCACAAGTTGTAATGTAAGGTTCATTGTGTCAATTTACATGGTTTATTATTCATTGAATTGCAGGTGGGTAAGAGCTGTTAACGAGTTTTTTGGTGTTCTAAGGACTAGCCCTCTTATCAAAAGACAGAGGGTAAACCTCTCAGTAATCTAATTTCGTAGGAAACAATTTTACTTTATTTGAAAAAAAGGACATATCGATATCCGTTCGACTTTGGGATCCGATCATTTGACTTCTATGTTTTGTTGCAGATGCAGGGTTCTCCGGTGCCCAAGCCACTGCAGAGTTCAATTGATCGGGCACCTTATTTGAATGTTATGGGAGATGGAATGGTGACCGCAATGAGCAATGAACCAACAGATGCTTTACAAGAAGACACGTCGAACAACGAGCATATGATTCATAGTAAGGAAGAAGGTACAATTTCCGATAACAGAACGAATTTCGAGTCAATAGATAAAATAAACTCCGACGAGCGAATCGAGCAGAAAGTGGAGAAAAACGTTAAGGATTTGATCGTCCCTGTTCAAGCACGCATCGATAAGCTTTCACGGCGGAGCAGACAATCGATCTGGTTACTTGCATACATTGCCGTCATAACAACTTGGCCGTTCGTCGGCTCCATTATTGTTTCAGTTCTCAAGAAAAGGTTCAAAACTTTTATACCAGGCACGTTGCTTAGAAAATAGAGTTACTTCTAGTAGGGGTCACCAAATACGATCTATAGAAAACCATCGATGCCCCAAAACTTGAGGGACAATAAAAGATACTAACTGCTCTGCTCTGATCAGTAAGTATCAGTTGTTATATGATTACAAGTGGCATTCATCTTGTTGTAGCTTCTAGTCTCCTTTCAAACGTAGAATTTGACCTTATAATGTTAAGTTCATCAATTTAGAGTTTGTGATTATCTCTTTTTATAGTATTATATTTTAAATTTAAACTTATACTCTCTCCCCCAAAATGCAATATGCATTAACACCGACATATTTAGAATATATATTCTACATTTTGTTTTGTCATAAACACGTCTTTATCATAAGCATTCTTTCTTTTTAGATAACGTTCTACATTTTTTTTGTCAACTTTTATTCTTCCATTTTTTTCCTCATCAACTTGTCGGGAAAATTCTGCCTCATTTCCTATTAAAGGACGCACTCTATAGAGCACTGAAGTAGCCTTTGTCCCGTGTGTAATAAATTATATCTTAAAATATGATTTAATGGATAAATATTTTTTCGTTAAAAATGTGTTTTAACTTTTTTAATATAATACTTTTAGATATATGTACCGTAATAATCGTTAAATTTAATCGTTATCTGACACGCGTTACTCATAAAATTTTAAAATTATTTTATTTAAAAAAACTTAATATTATAATTTTTCTTAAAAAACTTAAAACCCCCTAAATTTTACATCTTCCTCCGTCAATCGATCATTGTTAGTCCGTGGCCGTCACTGTTGACACCATAAGAATCGTCTCTCCATCATTATCAAAATTCAGTCTCTCATCCACCGTAAAATTGCACCGATCATCGTGAAAAAACACCACAAAGGATCGTCGAATTTTTAGGTTGTTCGTTACTATTTTCTGATAATTTCGACAATTACAGCCATCCGTACGTTATATGGCCGCCACCATTGAATTCCTTGCTTAAAACAAAATTCAATAGGTGGTGACTCCTTGCTGTTGGAGGTGGTGGGAGGGAGAGGGACAATACAAGGTGGTTTGATTTTTTTAACAATATTTTTATTATTAAAAAATTATAAAATATAACATTAAACACCTAAAAATATAACAAAAAAAGCGTTAATCGCCTATTTTTAGTAAAAAATTCTTTAAACACCAAATTGTATTCTAAGATATAATTTAAGAACTAAAAAGTGCTTTAATCCGTAAAAAATGTCATTTTAAAAAAAAATTCTTCAAGTGTTATTTACATAAATAATAAAAAATGTGATTTAAATAATTTTGAGCGGACCAACCTTAATGAGTTTGGTTCGATTTTCGAAAAGTGATGATCAGCACATCAAAATCATTAATCGGAATTGCCCCAAACAAAAGCTTAAATGTCATCCATGGAAAAAAGATTATTAAGTTTCAGAAGCACCATCTTCAAGTAGATTTAAAATCCCAGTCATATGGTGATGTTGGATAGTAGCTAAAGTAGTTGACAACTAAAATACATTCCCAGTGTCGACAAGGGAGAAATAATAGCCAACTACGGAGTAAGGATTTAATACCACTAACGTCAAGCACGGGTCATCTTCATTTTCGGCATTGCCTTCTTCATCTGCCGAGCACGTTCTTTCGCTTCTCTCTTGCGAACCGCTTCTGCGCTGAGCTTCGCCTCTGCCTCCTCCAACATCTTTTTCTTCTCTGTCTTCTTTCTCTGCAATGCTTCTTGCCTAGCGTTTTGAAGTTCTTTGTATGCCTCTTGTGCAGCTTTCACTCTTGCAGTTTCGGTTTTGGATCGAGCCTGCGATAAGAAAAAGAATTTGAGAAGATTAACAAGTTGACATATATTGAGCATTTGATACATAATCTAACTTCCAGCTGGAAAACCTGTGAGCTGAGCTTATATCGCCCAACTAAATCAATGTAGTATGGTACAAGAGCCACCAAGCGAGTCATGTCAGCCATGTTGTTGGCATCAGGGAGGGCAAACTTAAAGACGAGCATCTTCCTGTGGATGCCGAGATGCTGATCTGAAAAATGCATCGAAATGAAATTCTTTCCGTATTTCTCATAAGCTTTGTCACCAAAAACCTGCAGGTTGACAATCACAATAGATTTTGAATGTTAAAAAAAATGGTAGAGCTGCCAAGAGAACTCAGTGCAAATGGTAAAAGAACAATGAGAGGTCAGATATTATGGGAAAGAATTAGTAGGAACAACCAAAGCATACACAAGAACCACAAAATGTAATGGACAACAAGGTCCTAATCCTCGCTAAACATATGGACTCTTGAATCCTAGTAAAATTTTCGTATCTCCCACTCTTTCAACTCCGCCAACCAAAATCTGCTACGACTGATAGTAATAATATGTATGATAGTCGGGTAGCAACTTAATAACTGGTCAACTTTGCCTTTATCCATAAGGCATGGAGTTGAAACAGAACTTATACCATGATTTAGTAAGAAAAACTTAGAAGAGATAACAGGAAGCAACAGAAGACCATCAAAATATGAAGAAAAAGAAAACTAATACGAACTGTCACAAGTCTGTAGCCATTGTTTTCTCGATCAAGTCAAGAACCCATACCTTACAAAGTTAGGAATCTAACAGGGAAGAAATTCTTGATAAAGTCTGATCACTAGAAATTTAATTACAAAGTAAAATCACAAGCAAACATACCACCATTCCAACTTGTGATTTTAGCTACTAATGCAGCGATGTTATATTCATTCCATCATACTAGCATAAATACATGTTTCAAAACAAATAAATGCGACTGTTTGCCGCCAGCCCCCACAAAACATAGAACTACATGAAAATCCTATTGGTTGGTTCCAACTTACAGTGAACTATTCCACACAACCTGCAGAGTGTTTTAACACATACAGAACGTCCCACCCACACAACGGAACACCAAACTAACAACTAAAAAGGGTTATGAATTCCACTTCTAGGTAAGGCACTAATCTATTTCAAATAGATCCATGTTCATGTATGTTCAAAACACTATTAAAGAAAATACACCCTTAAATAATTTCAACACTACCACAAAACCGAGTATTGTTTCATTCAGCATCAACTTCTTCGAATATAGTCGACTTATTTTTTCAACACTAACCTCTTAACTGATACGCGTCACTAATCTGGCTAACATGCAGCCAATACAAAATATCCTACAGCACTAACGAATTGCTTATTACATGAGCACAACAAGAACTCAGAGAAGATTATTTCATGAAACTGTAAGCTAAAAACAATCAAGCCATACGAGCCATGCATGTAGCACAAAGAAAGCCATAGAATCTAATAAATTAAAAACTATAATTTATCACTTTAAAATACTAAAATCACCATTGTTATACGGCAGAAATCCAAATCCTGCAACGCACTAGCAGATAAAACTATCCCATCAAATCAAATGAATACGCTAGACCAACTAACCTGCTCAAGCACAGCCTCGGTAATCAAATCTCCAGCAACCTCCTTCGATTCAGAAATCACGGATAGTTCACCCACCACCCATTTCCTTCCACTAGGATTCGGCATCAACCCTGCAAACCTCTGCAAATCTCGCACCTCTTTTTGCATCCCCTTGGCCGCCTTCTTCTTTGCCACAGCTAAAATCACTTGATCCATGGCTTCATCATTCATATAAACTTCAAAAGTGATCTCATCTTTACAGGGAACCACCAAATTAAACAATCTCGATATCAAATCATGCCTGCTCTTTAACTCCATCGTTGCCAGCAATCCCTGGCAGTACCTTCGCCCACTCGCATAGAATTTGAACACGGTTTGCCCTTCTTTCAACAACAAAGGCGAGTCCTCCCCTTCTCCAACACCCAAAAGACTGAAATTTTTCTCAAATATAGAACCTTTCGTGGCAAACTTCGCAGCCCATGCCAAAGCAAGATTCTCGTTTTCACGTTTACCAGTGAAGTAATTGATTGCAAAAACAATCAGGAAAGACCCACAGACAATCTCCACCGTAAACGACTTCTTCGAAACCGTCGCGTCTTGGGATTTCGAGGTCGTTTTCGGATCTAGGTCCTTGGGAGTAGCGTTTTCAGTATCCTTTATAGGTTCGGGTGGCGGTTGTTCAACAGGCAAACCCTCGAATTCGTCCTCATCCCAGTACTCAAATGATGTAGTGGATGGCTTTTGAAGATCCGATTGGGACGGAGTATCCGAAGCGGGAACAGGGTTGGGATCAGGGTCGGTTCGGGTTTCAAGATCCGTAAGGGGCTGTGAATCTGACTGAGTCACAGGCGGCGATCGAATCGAGTGGTGATCTAAGATCTCTTCTTCAATAGTTTCATCATCTTCGGCGTCGAATCCTTCAAAGTGGGAGTCAGCAAGGACGTGAGAGAAAGAGAAGTAGGTTATCAAAAGAGAGAGGAGGAAAAGCAGATGGAAGAGAGAAAAGTTCATTTTTGGAGTCTCAGATTTTTCTCTTCTTTTCTTTTGAGTATCTGATTCGTTATTTTAAGAGGGAAAGGCTTCGTTAGCGGCTATGGAATTGAGAGCCTGAGGCTACGATGTATTAGGAGACGGCCCAAGTGATGGAGATAAGACAGTCGGATATTAGACCCATCTTTAGCTGTCACCGCACTCTACACTTCGACGTTGAACGATCATAGCTCGTGGAATATTATTATTATTATTATTATAACACGAATCAATTTATTTCAATAATAAAAAAATAATTATCATTTTTAAAGTTTTGAGTTTTTGTACTATATTTATAAAATTATTTAAACGTTTATTATTAAATAATTAAAAAATATATTGTTTTATAATTATTTTATACTAATAAAAAATTGTCATAATAGTCCGTGAGATTGTACTTCGCAAAATATATTCCTTTTTGTAAATAACTTTGTATTAATATGATTTTTCAGCTTCTTGTATTTGAATGAGTTTAGATAGGATATCTTTGTCAATATTCTCTAGAATAAGAAATTAAAAACTCTCAATTAATTCATTCTCTCTTCTTTAAGTTGTGGATTCAATTTTCATTTGTAGCAAAATTTCTCTTCCCCTTCTCTAAAGTAAAAAATATTCTAAAAAAATTGTTGATTTTTCTTAATGTTGTTTCTTTTGTATTTGAGTTTGGAGAGCATTGAGTGTGCATTTTTTTGTTTGAGTCGTGAATTATGTATCAACAAAGCTATGAGTTTTCGTTCGAACAAAAGTGTATTCATTTCTAAGCATTTCTTATTTATTTTTATGACTTTCTAGTTATGATATAATGTTTAAAATGATTAAACATCAGAAGAGATATATCAAATATACTTTTTGATAATCTAAGATGATTTATAATTATCAAGAATTGGGAGTTTACTTTTTGTCTCCAAAGATTTATTATAAAATGCACTTTACAAAATGAGAATAATTTTGAATATTGATTGTGTTACATGTGAATGGTTTGAATGCTTGGTTTAGTTAGATTGGAGAATATAAAAAAGGAAGCTTGGTTTTAATTGAAAATTCTTTTTGTACTTGTTTAATTGAAAATTTTAAGAAAATAATAAAAGAATATTGAAATTTTTTAATAGTGAGATTAATATTGTAAAGAAATTAAAAGTGAAAATAAAAAGAATCAATGGAACATTGAGAAATAATCTTAAATGGAACATTGAGAAATAATCTTACTATTATATCCTACGTAAATAGATTTTTCTTAGAAAAAATGACGTGTCAATTTCTGAGTAGATATTAATATATTTTTTATTTTTAAATTTTGAAAAAAATCATACTTAAAGTTAAAATCTTGGATTCTTCTAATCAACCATCATACTTATATTTAGACCAAATTAACCATATAAGATAATGCAAGATCACACATCATTCTATTTTGTAATCTTACATTATACAACCTAATTTTAAATCATATTGTAAATTCTTCTAACCAGCCATCGTAATCCTACAATTCAACCAAATTGATTAACGAAATAAAATAATATAAGATTACACATAATGCTATTTTATAATCTTACATTACGTAATCTTAATTTTAATCATATTGTTATATTATGTGAAACAAAGACACCCTAATTATAAATTGACAATCCAAGTTGATTGTACTTGCATGAAAATTTCAACCATTTTCATTAACCGTTCATGCCAAGAAAGGATACGAAAAAAATGAAATAAATAAACAAGGCCAACAGAATATTTAAGCGAAAGAAAATTCCTTTGAGAACTCGGATGCTACCAAGGGCGAGCCTTTAAACTCAACCTCACTTGCATACTTCCAGTGATCACTTCTCAAAAATATATGTAGTTGCAGTTTAGCCACCATAACTTACCACAATGAAAACGAAGCCACAAGGCAAAGTTTAGCGAGTTAGCCACATAGTCTCGAGCTGAATTATGAAAGCTCGAAGCAACATACCTACGGTGCTGAACTATTTTGGAGGTTTGTCTTCTTCTAGCAGCAAATGAACCATAGACTTCACTACCTCATTATCTACAATCGTAGCATTCTATCAAGGCAAAAAAAAAAAAAAGAAAAGAACTAGTTAAGCAGGCAGCATTGAACACACAAGCTTTACCAGAGAGAGACGATAAACAAATGAGAAACTTATATGGAGGCAACCGTATGTGTTAGATAACCAAGAAACATAGTTCAAAATTCTATGCAATCCAGAGAAGATGGCTAAACTACGAATAATCACACACAACCAAACCTCAGGCTTTCTAATCAGCTCCTGCAAAATTGAATGAAGAGCAGATCTAAGTTCCTTGCACAGAACAGCAGTTTGAGCAGGCGCTGTCAACTTTAGCCATCCATCTATAGCAACCAATCCAGACTAAAAGAAAAAAAAAGATGTTAAAAACCTAAAAACCGAAATGGAGCGGCATATAAAACAGGAGTTTTGAATAAATACTAAGGATTACAGAAAATACCTGATGCTGAATGTTAATTAACCCACCAAACAGCAAAATAGAGAAGGGAGATATGATGGTAGTATCTCGCAGAAAGACTTTGTTGGTTTCAACCTGTTAATGCCAAAATTAGATTGCAGTACAAAAGCAAATTGAAGATGGAGCTTGCTCTTAACAATTTTTCATTTTCCTTCCCATTTTTAACCATGGAAAAGTGAATTTCACCATTTTCAGTCTTACAAAATCTCAAAACTGGTAGTGTAATCAGGAAGTGCAACATTCTAGACAAGCATAAGTAAAAAGATAAATCATTATGTTGAACCTTAAACATGTAAGAAGTAAGAACCAAAATGATGCGCCTCTTCTATATTGCAGCTCATAATTTAGCTAGGATGGTTTATTCTTATAATCGATAAAATTGCGCAACATGACGCCATTAAATTAGTAAGAGCAATTTAGCATTTCAAACCTGGCTCTCACTAAAAAGAAAGGAAATCGTAGGAAAAAAAATGAGTGAGAGAGAGAAAAACGTAGAGAGAGAGAATTTTAAAAAAAAGTCAGTTCCCGATGAGTGTTGGTCGGCGTTTATCGACAACCTGAGTAGGAGGGTTTCTCGTCATACTCTTAAGGAATTATTCTTAGTCCATGGTCCGGTTATGAGAGTTTTCATTCCCAATCAAATTAGAAATCCTAAGTACAGATTTTCCACCTTTGCTTTTGTTCATTTTAAGAGGGAGGAAGATTTAAGGAGGGCTGTTGATGAGTTAAACGGGGTTGTGATTGATGGAAGGAAGATCTTAGTTAGTCCTGCCAGATTTAAGGATGATCGTTCAAGGTCAAGGGTGGTGCATACTTCTTCAAACGAGGCTTCTGGTCAGATTAATGCAGATTCTTCGAAATCAAGAGAAAGAGAAAATATTATCAGAAGTAGAAGGGACGATAGAACTTATAGGGATGCTCTGATGTCAAATGGGATTACAAGGGGGTACAAAGAACTATTGTCTGAGGATGTCCAAAGGAGGAATGTCAAGAAAAACATTATGGAGATGCATATTCCATCAGAAAGTGCCAATTGGGTGAAGAGGTCGTTAACAGGGATTCTCAAATACTCGTTTCAAGTTGAGTTCATTCGGAATGCCTTATTTAAGGAAGGCTATGATGTTCAAATTGCTAGATTGGGTTATGTTTGGAACTCTTGCGTTTTAGTTCTCAATTCCCATGAGGAGATGCTGGATTTGTGGAGCAAAAAGGAAGAGGTTTTAAAACAGTGGTTTGAACGAGTGGAACCTTTACTGAATGAGGCCGGAGTTCTCATGGCCTTCTGCATGGCAGAATTAATAGGGGTTCCTTTGTTATGCTGGAATGAATCTTTCTTCGAGAAAATGGCTGGGAGATGGGGCAAAGTGGTAGGTATTCATGAGAGTACAAGGAAAAGAGAAGACCTTACAATGGCAAGAATTTTATTGAGGGTGGAAAGCCCCTTTGATGTTCCAGAGGTGATCACTCTTGGATCTTATGGAAGATCATTCAAAGTAAGTATTAAGATTGGATCAGCAAGTGAGTATTCAAGTTCGTTTTTCAGTAATTTTCCGGTGGAGGATTCCGATGAGGCATTTTCTGAAGAAATTAGGTCTGAGGAGGATGTAGACAGGTTGTTGTCAGATCATGGGGAAGGGGAGGCATGTGCAGCAAGGAGAAATCGTCTGTCAGTGGACAATTGGATTGAGCAGGGTGTGTTCAGTGGTTCTGGAGGAGTTAGTGAGAATAGACAGCTAGCAAGGCTTCCCTTAGATAGGAAAGGTATTAAATGTAGTCTGCCAGAAAGTCAAAAGGTTGGGAGTTTAAAAGTTGGTGAGTTTGCAGGTTTGGGGATTAGAAGTCAACATTATTCGGCTGATGGGTCTCAGGCCCATTCTGAAGACTCTGGGCAGTCTGGGTCAAAAGATTTTTCGGGTTTCATTTCTGGGCCAGCATATATAGTTAATAAGTGTGGGGATTTTGTGGAGAACCTTAATTTAGCAGGAAAAAACAGGAAAACGTTTAGAGTATTGGAGAAGAGCCCAATTACAGAGAAGGTGGTTAATGCAGAAATAGAGGCTGAAGAAGAAAGTTTAAGGTTGGTTGAACCGGTTACAACTAATTTAGGAAACATCTCAAGGGGGAGACAGTTACACCGTTCTAGAAGAAAGGTCTCATCTGAGAGTGAGGTGCTGGAAACTAGAAGTTTGAGCAGTTGCAAAAGGGTCTATAGCAGGTCGAGGGAAAGAAGATATTGGTATGGAGATTTGTTGAACTTTACGAATGAAATAGATGGCACCAAGGTTGGGCAGAGGAAGTTGGATGTGGACTCCAGCACTGCAAAACAAATTTGTTTTTCAACAGAGCTCATTGCTGATGGGAGTCTTCTTCCTAGCTTTGTTAATGGTCTTGGGGATGGGACCGTAGAGCGGGAGATTGAAGGTTACTGTTCTGAAGGTGAATGCTTAAGACCCAAATCTAGTTTGTTAATTAGAAGGAAGAGGAGAGCTAGAAGGATCCTGTTTCGAGAAGCTCTTGACCAGGTGAGCATTGATACAGCATCCTCCTCAGCTTTCTCGAGTTTATTGAAAGAAGCTGTAGAAACTTGGGAGGTTAGTAAGCTTTTGGGAGTATCTTTTAAGGAAGGGAAAGAAGCATTTTTGGAAAAAATCATAGCTCTAGAGAAAGGATTAATTGGGATTAATCAAGGTTTGGTTGATTGAGGGTTTTGTTTGTACCTTGTTCCCTTTATGAAGATGTCAAAGTTAATAATATGTTCATGGAATGTTAGGGGTCTGGGGAAAAATGAAAAAAAGAGGGCTGTTCAGAATTTAGTCACTAGCTTAAATCCTACTTTCCTTTGGTTGCAAGAAACTAAGACTGAAAAATTTAAGAGGTCTTTCTTTAGGAGAAGTGGGATTAATAAGCTTAAAGGAGTTTTGGAATCTCCTTCAGTTGGATCAGCGGGGGGCCTGTTGTGTTGTTGGGATGAACATATCTTTGAGTTGGAGAGTCAGTTTATTAGTAGGAGATTTATAGCTACCTTTGGTAAATTCCGGAATAAAAACTTCAGTTGTGGTTTCATCAATGTATACGGTCCAGCAGTGGAGGAAGAGAAAGCTGGTTTTTTTGAAGAATTAAGCAGTTTTCTTAGTGGACAGAATTTTCCCGTTTGTGTGGGAGGGGACTTAATGTTTATTTACAAGAAAATGAGAAGATGGGCAGAGGCCAAAGTAGGAGCTCAATGGAGATCTTTAATGACTTCATTCTTCATACGGGCTTAATTGATCTTCCTATGAATGGGGGAAGGTTCACTTGGTGTAATAACCAAGAGAATCCCACGTTTGTAAGATTAGATCGTTTTTTGGTTGACAGTCAATTTCTAGCGTTATTTCCGGACATTTTACAGTCTCTTCTACCAAGATCATTGTCAGATCACAATGCCATAATTCTTGTGAATAAAGGAGTGGACTGGGGTCAAAAACCGTTTAGAATGTTCAACTATTTGATGGATGAGGAGGGTTTTGAGGATATGGTTATTTCTTCTATTCAAAGTTCTAAGAAAAGTCGGAAGAAGGCAGGTGCTTTTAGTCTTTTAAGGAGTGCCAAACATGCAATTAAAAAGTGGTCTGGAAACAGAGATAAGTATCCAGGAGACTTGATTTCTGAGTTAGATAAGAAAATTTCGAAGATAGAGGCTGATATTCAACAAAAGCAGGGTGTTGTCGATAGTGAGGTATTAACTGAGTTGAATAATTGTAGAGCAGAATTGTGGAAGCTGCACAAGATCCAAGAGCAGATTTGGTTTCAGTATTCGAGATCTAAATGGATTGAAGACGGGGATCGCAACACTAAATACTTCCATACCTGTGCTACGGTTAGGAAGAAGAGGAATGCACTGGTGGCACTTAATTTTAGAGGAGAAATAGTTGAAGACCCAATTGCTATTAAGGACATTGTGAAGGATTATTTTTTTAAAATCTACAATAACCGATCTACTCTAGAAATTGATGAATTAAATCTGGATTTTTCCAGAATTTCTTTGGAGCAGAATCAGTTCTTAGAGCAGGAATTTTCAGAGGAGGAAGTTTGGGATGTTGTGAAGTCTTGTGGAAGTAACAAAGCTCCGGGTCCTGATGGCTTTAATATGGGTTTTTTCAAGAGGTTTTGGCAGGTCCTTAAGGAAGATATTATGATCTTCTTTAAGAAATTTTACTTGGGGAAGGATTGGGAACATCGAATAAATCACACTTTCATCACTCTTATTCCGAAAATTTCAAACATTGGCGGTTTGGACGATTTTAGACCTATTAGCTTAGTTGGTGGTTTGTACAAGATCCTCTCTAAATGTCTGTCAAGGAGACTTAGGAGCTGCATTTCAGATTTGATCAGTCCATGTCAATTCGCTTTTATTCCCGGTCGACAAATCTTGGATTGTTCCCTTATAGCCAATGAAGGGATTGACTTTTGGAAGAAGAATGGTTTAAAAGGATGTGTTTTTAAAGCTGATTTCAAGAAGGCATATGATACACTTGACTGGCCTATTTTGTTCAGAATTATGAAGGAAATGGGATTTGGTTCTAGATGGATAGGGTGGATTTCGAAGTGCATCACTTCAGCAACTGTTTCAGTCTTGGTGAATGGGGTTCCAACCGAGGAAATCCCAATGGCTAAGGGTCTTCGTCAAGGTTGTTCTTTGTCTCCGTTGTTGTTTAATATAGTTGGGGAACTATTGAATTTATTGATACTTAAAGCTGTTTCAGGGGGTCTCTTTTCGAGTTTGATGATTAGAAATGAGGAGAAGAATTTTAATTTAACACATCTACAATTTGCTGACGACCTTATAATTTTCTGTGGTGCGTCGAAAAAACAGATCTTGAATGTGAAGAGGGTGCTTCGAGTGTTTGAGATTATTTCTGGACTTCAGTTGAACTTGAAGAAGTGCAAATTGTTTGGGGTGAATTTAAGGGAAGAGGAAATTAAGGATTGGGCAGCTACGATTGGATGTTCAGTGGGTTATTTTCCCTCTGAATATTTGGGACTCCCTCTTGGTCCACACAGGAACTCTAACATTCTGTGGGATCCAGTGGTTCAAAGCTTCAATAAGAGGTTAGCAGGCTGGAAAGGCTCTTCTTTGTCACTGGCGGGCAGGCTGGTTTTGATTAAATCAGTCATATGTTCACTTCCTATATACTATTTGTCATTATTTAAGGTTTCAGCTTCAGTATACAAGACCCTAAACTCTATTATGTCAAATTTTTTATGGGGTGGAGGAGGTGGGAGGAAGAAAATCCATTGGGTAAGCTGGTCCAGCGTTTGTAAACCAAAAATTGAAGGAGGCTTGGGAGTTCCTAATATAAATACGATGAATAGGGCTTTATTGGAAAAGTGGGCTTGGAGGTTTGCTATTGAGAGGAAGGCGATTTGGAGGGAAATGATTTGCACTAAATACAAAATGGATTCTTCATTGATGCAGCTTGATAGTAAGGTTTCTCCTAAATTTTCTTGGATATGGAGATCTTTGGTGAATAATCATTTTAAAGATGATTCGATGGGCTGTAGTATCAGAAGCAATTATAGCTACAAAATTGGCAATGGGAGGAATATTCGGTTTTGGCAAGACAATTGGGCATTGGATCATCCTTTGATGGTCATGTTCCCTAGACTATTCTCTATTGCAGTGAACAAAACTGGAAGATTATTTCAGTTTGGGGATTACAGTTCTGGGGGCTGGTTTTGGAACGTCCAGTTGAGAAGGGAGTTGAATGACTGGGAATTTGAACAATGGTCAAACTTGATGGCTGTTATTTCAGATTTTTCTGTTTCTACTGATGCTGTTGATGGACTGTTGTGGAAGGGGAATGGAGAAGGGGTTTTCAATGTTAAATCATGTGCCAATCTATATTATTCGGGTATTTCTGATTTGGAGGAAGCTAATTTTTGGAAATCTATTGTTTGGAGGGGCCTGCTGCCTCCAAGAGTGGAGACTTTTCTTTGGCAAGTTATCTTAAAGAAGCTGGCAGTGAAGACAGCTCTGGTTAAGAGAGGTGTTCAGGGCATAAATGATTCTATGTGTCTTTTTTGTAATCTAGAAGAAGAGTCTTCATCTCATCTATTTTTTTCCTGTTCGGTTGTTTGGCCAATATGGACTAAATTCATGGGTTATTGGAATTTTCAGTCTGTTTTTCATGAAGATGCAAAAAAATTCCTAGTAGCATGGACTAACTTAAAGACCAACTCTCTGATGTGGTCATTTATCCCTGGAGTGGTCTTATGGACAATATGGAAAACTAGGAATTATATAGTGTTTGAAGGAGGGAAGTTTGATCGAGCAGAAATATTCTATCTAGCTAGGTGCAGGCTTGCTTCATGGTTTCTAGCTAGGGAAACTCAGATTTCTATTTCCAAGGATGCTCTTATTGCCGACCCGTCCTTAGTGGATTCTTGCTCGTCTCATACTAATCGGATTTCAACTAAGGTTCCTTGGTCCCCTCCTCCAAAGGGTTTTATTAAACTTAATGTGGATGCGGCTACTTCTAGTGATTGGAAGAGGAGTGGTTTAGGTGGTGTTCTGAAAGATAGTTCTGGTTTGATTCTTGGCTCCTTCAAAGACCCTGCTGGTCCGGGACCTCCAACTTTGAAGGAATTGAAAGCTATCCTAAAGGGGTTATTTTATTATGAATCTATTCGCCACAAATTTAAAGAGAGATTGATTATCGAGAGTGATAGTAAGGTGGCAATTGGTTGGGTCAAGGATGTTGGTTCTTGTCCTGTCGTTTATGTTCAAGTTGTTAAGGAAATTATTCAAAAGCTTAGTGTTTATGAAGGTCTTATTAGATGGGTTAGTAGAACAGCCAATATAGAGGCGGATGTTCTAGCTAAGGCTGGTATTGGTTGAGTATTATGTTCTGTTAAGGGCTGGTTCTTTTTGGCTTTTTATCTCTGGAGGGAGATTAGACTTTGTATTACTTTGTAATGTTTTAAGATTAATGAACTCCTAGGGCACTCTTTTCCTCCTTCCGCTGATTAAGGAACTATTTTCAAGTTCCGTTAATCATGAAGGGGGTTTTTAGTGAGGCCTACTATTCCTATCAAAAAAAAAAAGAAACTTACACTATAACAAACAAATATAGTAAATGAATGAACAGACTTTTCAAGGAAAAAGGAAGCTAATCTTTTACATTAGCCTTTGTTAGGCTAGTTCTTTCTCTCAATAGGAAATGACCATGCACTGGTTTGTCAACCCTATGTATGTCTATGAAATAAGTATTATTCACAAATCGGAGAAGACACAAATTAGAGAAATGAGAAAATTAGAAGACAAAAGTGGATTAAATTAAATCCACAAGATAGAAGTCTACATACCTTTTCAAGGAAGACGAGAAATGGATGTTGAAAGGATTTCAAGCTACTGTTAATGGAAGTAGGGTGTATATGAACCTCTCGTCTTCCATCATACCAGACTGGATGGCCCTTTGTTGTAGGATTAGGTTTAAGTCTGTTGAGAGCTGCTTCAGTAATGCCCAGCTCCGTAGCAGCGACATTGGGGTATAAACCAGCACATAGTATTGCCTTCAAAGATAATATTAGAATTATATCTAGAATTAGATGCAGTTTTGTGGTTATAATCATCCTTTGTTACATACACCTTGTAAATAAACCACACTTAACGGCACATCATCATGCTCATAAGTCGGTAGATGAAAGTAGGAACTCTGGATATTTCAAGCCCTTTATCAAATTATCGAACACACATGAGGAGAATGGTGGTTCAACAGATATATGTAAATTTACAGGAAAATTAAGATATAGAATTTTACAAAAACAAAATACGAAAATTTAGTGATATAAGAAAACAGGAAAAACAAAATTAGTAATAATAAAAAAAAGAGGGCCCCAGTTTACAAGTGGGTAGCGTATAGAATGTCTCTAACACACACTTACAAAGGACATGCAACTTCCCTTTGGGGACAGATATATAACTAAGCACCTAATAGCATCGTGAAAAATAAAATAGAGGACATACATAATCCAAACAAATGAAGTGAATAAAGGACCAAAAAGATGACCTCTGCCATAACATAAGAGATTTGAGTAACTGCAAAAGTAGAACTAAAATGTAAACTAATTCAAAAGCAGCCAGACAAAAATGTTCATGATTACCTTCACAACTGCAGAATGATGTGAATGCATATTGAATGGTTGTGAGTAATCTGAAAACCAACCATCAAGGTTCTCCTTCCTTTTTCTCCCAATCTGTAAGATAAGAGCGAGAAAACATACATTGCATCAAATGCCATATAAGTTGTATCAATTAAATCACAGGTTGCATACCTGAAGATTAGTTGGAAGATTGATGAATCCTATATCTGCTAGCAGTGTTCCAAATTGTATTCTCATGTCTCTGAGAATTTAAGAAAAGTCAAAAGTTCAAGATTAGTAGCGCACAGAAACAGAATATTTCAGTAGATATTATCATGATTACATAGGTTATTTCTTATGCATATGGGAGGGCTAGAAAGAAGAAGCAAGTCGGGCAACTATCATACTGACACTTAACTTGCTACCTTTGACTCGGATAGCCATGACAAATATGATGAGGAGCAATTTACTCCTTTCACTTCTAAGTGGGATATCCAAAGGATTGTAACTACTAAAGAAAATAACCAATAATAAGCAGGCACCATGGCATATTTTCTAACTGCAAATTGGCAAAGATTCCACTACCAGAAGGCAATACATCCCATTACAATTGATAACTTAAGAACTTGCACAGAACTCAAAACTATCAACTGTAAGTTAGAGAATTCATTCCATATTCATAAAATGACAAAAATAGAATGATACAGGTTGGACGCAGAAACAAATAGCCAAGTAAGCATCTCAACAATGGCGGTGGAAGAGAGAGAGAGAGAATAAAGCTGAACCTTGTCATGGACATAACCGAACTGCTTAAAAAGTACTTCTTGCAAAACTGCTGAGCAGCTTTTACTCCTTTCTGCAAGGATATAAATTTTACATATGAGTAAGTCATTCTGTTTGAAGTGCCACGAGATATATCTATTACAAGCACCCATTAAATTAAATGGGTAGTTAGAACTGAAACCCCTCCCAAAATAGAACATGATTCTCTTCCCCCCCAAATTTTGCTGGATAAAGGTTCTAAATATCAGAGTGCAGATCAACCAGGGTGCTATATACCAAACAAGTAAACTTTTATAGCATTGCAGACTCTTCGTTTTTTTTTGTTTTAGATTAATAAGCAGACAACACTGATCACTTTTCCTTTGAGCTAATAACTGCCAAAAGGCCTAACACAATCATTGACATACCTCACGGAAAATCTTTTCCCACTTCCTATATGCAACCATCATTAGCAAGTGGTCAGACAGCCTCTCAGCATCATTTAAATTGCTAGATTCGTCCAGCTTGTCACTTAGCAAAGCCAATTTAGCTCTTTCAACATTCTGTTTCTGTAATATAAAAAGAAGATAATGATGGTATTGTTACTTCTTTCTTTTCTGAAAGCAAGAACAGCAGAAGCTTGATATAGAAATAAAAGAACTACCTCATCCTTTGGATATAAAAATGGAGACTTATAGCTGAGAAATGCAGAGATAGACAGAATGGGCGATAAGCAGCCAAATATTCCACCATAGAGCAGCATCTGAACTTCACCCAAGAACAATTAGTAAATTCAGGTAAACAGAAATACTATAACAGTTTATTGCAACAAAAGATTAAAAGATCTGAGAATCCATATTATATAGAGAGGATTTTGGGGTTTACAAAAACCATTCACCCTCATCATGTAAGAACTTCAAGCAAACAAAAGGCAGCAGTCTTTGACAAGAATAAACAAAAGGATGGAGTTCAAATTCAGCTAACATAGCTTGACTCACGGCCTATAAAAATCTTCAGATTTGGCACGTTCTCTAGGTAATTTGACAAGAAAGCCCTAATTTAAAATCTAGGTTCAATATTATTAATTTATTATGTTTGTACTATTTTAAAACACTTTAGCTCTGTGCATGTCCCATTAGCATTCCTTCTATCAGGGGGCAGACCGGCAGTATAAATTAACTCCTAATAGTACGTACTTTATAAATGTATAGCGTGCAGATCAGAAAAGACGTAATTTCATTCAAAAGAAATAACATTTTTCCAAAAATTGATGACAATGAGTTTAAACATAATAAGAGGTACAAAGAAGAGACAAAAATATCATTAACAACATTTCCTGACTCAAAATTTTTTAATGGAGAGCAAACAACATCCATAGTAAAAAAATCAAAAGAATTGAGGGGGATTAAAAATATTAAGCACACCTTTCCGATCAACACATCAACAGGAAGCTTTGCCAAATGATGCCCTAGAGGTGTCAACTCTTCATCTCTCTCAACGGCACCAACCTGAAAATAAGCACTTATTACCAAAATTCACAGGCCATCATCATTTGCCAACAAGAAATAAACTAAAGCAGCAATTGGTATACTATTATTAATTTAGGCTCCTCCACTACAAAGCCCAGGTACTTAACTGCTAGTTGAGCAGGATGAAAAGATGAGCAAATAATAATGCTCCTAAACAGGGAAAACCTTAGTCAAGTAGTGAAGACAAGATGAAAACATGACTTCTTCCTTGAAGCCCAAAATTTTAATCACCATGAACTGTATGTAATTTGTTAGTTAAATTAAGGGAAATTACCTCATATAACAATGAAATGGCAGAGTTCATAGCTTCTTCCTTGGGTGGCTCCAAAGCCTGAAATCAAAAGATATGTCATTAGAACACCAAAGAAGAGAACATAGATGACAATTTATGTTTACTGTAAATATGTATTAATACCTTGGATAAGAAAGGCTTTATCTGACCTAGGTTAAGTAGCTTAATTTGTAAACAGAGCTCTACTAAAGGCATCCGAAGCATTTCAGGCACCTAGATAATAATTCAGGAAAAAACTAAAAGCTTCAGGGCAAAAAAAATGCCTAGTTATTAGCACATTAAGATGTATGTTTATAAAGAAATCACTTGATATGGACGCATGAGCTTTTCAAATCTATGCCGTGTATACAAACAGAAGCAAATTCCAGGCTTAACACGGCCAGCTCTTCCTCTCCGTTGCTTAGCGTTTGCTCGAGAAATCCAATCTTCAACCATGCTTGATAATTTCTACAGAAACAATTTGAAGGGAAAAGAACACTAAGCTTATAAGTGGTGACTTAATAGAAGGGATTCATACATAGCAACACATGACATTTTTTTCTTTGATACAAAGGAGATGCAAGCATAGAGGCAACAATTCAACTATAATTGAGGTAAAATGCTTAAGCATTACTTCCAAATTTCTGCTCAACTTGCTATACCTACAACTTCATAAGCATGCAGCCCTCCGAGTTCTCCAATATAAACAAGCATTACCAGCTACAAAAGTCTTTCTCCACTTTCTAATAACTTCTCAAGTCCAAACTGAAAGCCCAAAGCAGAAATGACAGAATTTTCCTTCCTCAGACTAGCAATTAATGATGTTTACTCCTGTTAGAACTCTGTACTTTTTCTTTTAATACTCGTAATTAGACGTTCTTGACTACTGAAGACACCCAACATGGCATCTAGCATAAGCTTCAGTCAACGAAAGGATGCAATTACAGTGATACTCTATAGCCAAAATATAGGAAATTGACGAATATAAATTAGTTTTCAAAGTAGAAATTAATTATTCCAATAGATCGATACAAAAGTTGAATTAAACTTAAGATTCTCTCAGCAAAACCTCTTTATGAGCACTTAAAAACATAAAATAGTATAGGCCTGACTCAAACCATTTGCACTCCATGCAACATAAACATCAATGAAAAGGGAGGTTACTACACTGTAAAAAACATATGAATGCAAACCTTTTGGGGATTATAACGATTCTCTTTATGCTTTCCACAGTCGATCACATAGACTACGTCATCAATTGTTATGCTAGTCTCCGCAATGTTTGTAGCTACAATAATCTGAAATTGAAAAATATTGGAAGAATCTTATCAAAAAAAAAAATATTGGAAGAATTTAAATCAGTCTTAGTGAAAGTTCTGATAACAAATGAAAATCTTAAACAAGACTGAAGAACTGACCTTTCGTATACCATCAGGAGGATTTAAAAAAACCTTTTTCTGCTCATCCGATGCGATTGATGAATGTAGAGGCAGAAGCCAGTCAGAAGATGGTCCAGCAAATCGATAAGCAGCAGCTAGCCTATCAAGTAACATATGAATTTCTACAACTCCCTGTTAAACCATGGAATATGTCTCATACTAATATCAAAACATGAAAAATCAAAGCGTGACATTTATTGACATCAAAAGCACTTAGGATAGCTTACCGGCAAAAAGATTAGTATAGCACCCTTGTCACATGTTTCATCTACATGACAAACTAAATCTTCAAGCAAATCATAATCAATAATATCTTCATTCAGTCTTTTCTGTTTTTAAAAATAGTAAGCCTATTACTCATCCAATCATTGAGGAAAATAGAATAAACCAAGTTGCTTGTTCTGAAAGAGTTTACCAAATTCTGTTGTGTTTGCCCGCTATATGTTTGATAATTACTTGAAATGTAATTAGGATTTACATACTCCTCCGAAAGCATGGAATCATCACCCCATGCAGACAAGACAAGATTTTTCTTTCCTCTACGATTGTTCACCGGACCTCTCTGCAGGAGGATGCAAGAGTTCATTACTTGCATGACAGAAATAAAGATAACTCTTCGTATTTCATAACACACTCAAATTATCAGAGAGATAACTTAGAATGACTTATACATGATGCTTAAAATGCAAACGTTAGTTAACATGTGTAGACAATGAGAAAAAAACATCAAAATGCAAGAAAACAATTAAAGCATCACCAACAATTGGCACACCTAACCTAGCTGGTTTTTTAACTTACAAGTGCAGTCAAGACATGTGTCTGATCACATAGTCATTTAATAGTGTACTTTTTATCCAGCTCCAAATTCTAGAAGTAGATAGCTAACACACAGTAAGGATAATAAAAAGCAATTTTTAATTACCATATCCCTTGTGGATGTTTCATTTCTTAGAGAAGCAGGAGAATCTGAAGCAAGGTGATAATTGATACTTTCATATATATCCTCAAGAAAGCAAGTTGTCACAGGATGTGTCCGGCCTTGTGCAGTAATCACCGGGCAAAGACCAAAATATTTTGAGAATAAATCAGAATCAACCGTTGCAGACCTAAACATTTAGAGCATAATTCAGAAAACAGAAGAAAAAGGAAGCCGGCATGGAGGACAAGACATGCTTACACAACCACGACCAAAAGAAACCCATTAAATTTTACAGAAAATTAAAAAAAACATATACATACATAAGAATAATTTTCAGTTTGGGTGTGGTAGAGGCAGATTGCTTCTCAATCAGGTTCTTCAGAACAATGAGTAGAAAATCACCCTGTTAAGGAAAAAGAAACAAAGTCAAGTTAATTTTACAAAGTTCAGTGTTGGCTAAAAATTTAGAATTGAAAGTTCATTTCCCTTATTGGCAGATTGTTCATCCCCCACACATTCTTTATGATTATATTATGGAGTTATTTTTTTTATGGACGGAACTTGGAGATGATTGTTACAAATGTTCTCAACAAAGTCAGGTTAATTCATTAAACAACATTGTAAACCAAAAGAAACTTGTGTTACAAAAAATCCACCAGAAATAGCCATAGTTAGTTGAACTTAAAATTCATCCACTTACCAAAAGAGACCGTTCATGTACTTCATCAACTATAATGTGAGTAACACCAGTCAAGCTTTTATCCCCCTGTGAATGTTAAGGGAAGTTGAGGATGAAAATTTAATATGAGAGCTCTCTATATGCTAATTTTACAATATACATATATTGAAAAAAATTCTTGACATAACCACTCGAGTTCCATCTAAGTTTCTTCACGTAAAATACATGACCACAAATAATAACCGAGACTATAGGTCAAAATAAAATCCCAGAGCTATATCAGCATCCATAGAAACATATTCTAGTATGAACTATATTTTCTGTATAGTATTAAATAATCCCCATGGTATATTAAAATTAAAATCATAAGAGGAGGAACCTAGAGACAGTAGCTACTAGTGAAAATGTCAACAACTAGCCGATGATTTCTGGTTTCGCAAAAAGATTCAGTTCACTGTCCCAATATCACATTTCAGCATCACAAGTAAAAGCAGGAGAAGAAGACTTCAAACATCAAAAGCAGCAGCTTATCTGATAAGCAGTTTTAAGTGGGACATTTGTATATATGTCTTAACTTCCATAGTTCCATTACAAGATAAAGCGATTTCACATTTTGTCCAAAAATCAATAGAAACAGAAATATGTTGAAGTGGTCAAACATTACGCTAAAAGCTAGTGAGTGTGTGTGGTTAATGCCAATTCTACCATGTCAAGTTTCAAGGCAGACTTCCTAGGAAGCAGGTCTAAAATTCACTGCTCAAACCAATGCTAACTTTCACATCTATAGAATTAGGAAGAGAAGTAACAGCTTAAAAGGCCAAACTAATGTTGAATAATGTAATGACTAGCAAGTTCATGAAATGATAAGCCAGCATACACCTCATGTTATTAAACTGCCAACAAATTGATCACAAAGATGGCCATGTTAAAGAAAAACAGAACAGGCCCAACAGATAAATAAAATAAGTATTAAGACTGCCAGAATCAAATGTTAAATGGTCTAAACTAAAACAAGAAAAGATTTCATTCAAAATCAGCCATGACAGATTCAGAGCAGTCGGTAAGTAAAAAAAAATTGTCTGACAAGGACTTACTGCAAGTTTCCTCAGAAGAATACCAGTTGTACAAAAAAGAAGCTTTGTCTTCTCATTCCTAGAAAGTACAGTATAACCAATAAGAAAATTGTTATTCAAGAAAAGAAAGAGAGAGAGATAGCACATTAGTCTTTATGGTTTTTTTATATGCACTTTATAAGTGAAAAAAACAAGTGGGCTATAAAGGCAAATACAATTCTACCTAAACAAAGTGAACAATTACAACATAAGAAAAGAAATGTAGAGCTTAAAAAATGGTAGGAACAATGTTTTTTTTTATAAGAAGGTAGGCCTCGTTAAAAAACCCCTTCATGATTAATGGAGCACAAAGTGCTCCTTAATCAGCGGAATGAGGAAAAGAGTGCCTTAATTCATTAAAAACCGAAAGATACATAATGTTTAAAAACAAAACACACCCTTTACAATAATCAACCCAAATCCTAACTAAAGCCTAATAGAAAGCTGTGTAACTAGCCAATACCAGCTTTAGCTAAGCTGTCAGCCTCAACATTGGCTGATCTAGGAACCCATCTAATAATACCATTAAGATCTCTTAACAGAATAACAATGTCTTTCACAAAGACTCTATAGACACAAGGACAACAATCATAATTTTTTATCCACTCCACTGCTAGTTTACTGTCTGATTCAACAATTAAACGTTCTTTAAACCTCTGATGAATCAAAGCGAAGAAAGATAAGCCCTTCTTTATTGCCATAATCACAATGTTTGTTACCTTACAGAATGATTCAAAAGACAGAAAAATCATCATAAATTAACATAAACAAAATGTCAGCACCACTAAGCAATTCAAAAGGTGGAAAATCAAAGGAAATGTTTTTCATGCTCCTTAACAAGCAACTATCTTAAGCCTTCCTAACCACCATCATGCAGTTAGCAAAATCAGTATATGAAGAATGATTGTACAAAAAGTATTCATCGTATAACCACTAATTGTGAGATTAAAAAACCTGAACAAACCACAATGCACAAAACAAATCTGACACCAAATAGATTTAATTAAGAAATAGCATATAGAAAATGTTTAAAGAATATAGGCAGAATTCATCATTGCAGCTCATTTCTGAGAGCAAAGTCACCAATGATTGGGATTTTTTTGTACTGAACTCTTCTATTTGGATAATAAAATTTTACGTATCAAAATAATAATAATTGCAATTAGCACATTATAGTAACTTATGAGATAAGGAGGTAAACACCTAGCATTTTCTAGACGAACTTGATAACCAACCAAAGACCCATTAGAACCAGGAGATGGTTCACAACGCTCATCAGCAACTCGCTCAGCAACAGAAATTGCCTGCAATGATAAGACAAACCACACAAAACTTTTACCAAATCTGTAGAAATATATATATCTATATTTATATGTGAAAACATAGATGAAATTTGCAATAACACATAACAGGGGCAAACTCGAAAAACAAAAAGAACTCCGTTGATACAATATATTACATCAGATTTTCTAGTTGCAATTGGTACTTTATGAGAAGCATTATTTGAAACTTAATGTGCAGTAGTGACAGTACTATACAATTGGTACTTTATGAGTTTCCTTTCTTTGTGAAAACAGAGTCAGGCTTCTTCTATTCTATAATCATATCTGCATAATGTATTTAAATCTTCCAGAAACATCTTAGAGCGACAAAGAGAAGATAAAGGAGAAAGGTGGATAGAATTAACCTCTCATAAGTAATTGAATTTTTAACGAAGAGTGAATTAGTAATGAGGGTGGATGAAAATTTAGAGTTAAGCATTTATTGGCATATTATTCACCCACCGCTATTCTCCTTGGTTGCGTGCATATTATATTACAATCTGCACCATGTCTCGATTCGATCATATCATCCAATATAAACTGAGGAACCTACATTTAGAGGAAAAAAAACATAACTCTAATTTTCAAAGGAAAAAAGATATTAGTAATGTGACAAACCTCACCAAAAACATGAAACTCAAGCTATGTGAGCCAAGGATGCTCATAAATAAGGGTTTGCACACAGAAAAGGAAAATAAAAGATTAAACCTGCGTAGTTTTTCCAGATCCTGTTTCACCACAAACAACAAGAACATCATTTTCCTTTAGCAGTTGCAAAATGTAATTTTTCAACCCAGCAATAGGAAGAGCAGCTCTAGTTTTCAACATCTCCTGAAAACAATAACAAGAAAAGGTATAGAACTCTTAATGGCCATAATCAAATGCATTGCAAACTGAGTAACAGTACAATTTGCAAGAATAGGCATGATGTTCACATCAACAACATAAAATGCTCAATATGAATCAGAAAAGAAATCATGAGTTAGACTACCTAGATCACTAAATCACTACCAAGTTGGATCATATTGCTCTTTAAGTGTCAAGGTGTTTATAACATTCCCAAAACACCAGAACTTTAGTTTTGAGAACTATACAAGTGCAGCTATAAAACTATACCAAGAATTACATGTGGAAGGTTGATAATCTACTACAACAAACATCATATCCTTTTACTTTTAGTCTCTTGGTGTACATACATCAATAAATTCTGACATCAGATTCTAGATAATGAGATTGGAACCACAAAATTCAGAATCTATCCCCCCACTTTCCCTCCAACAGAATCAGAGCTAAACTAAACTATAACATGTATTTCAGCAGAAGGAAGCTAGTTAACTTCATAATATTCATTACCAGATAGTAAGTTAAAACTACTTCAATGTGGTGCAATTGAACTATTAGATCCCCCCAGCCAATATTCAAAAGAAAATTCAATTAAATAGCAACAAAAATAATAGAATCGGTTCAAAAAACAAGTAAATATATAGTTTATACTCAATTCTTAATGAATCCAATTACTATTTTCCAGAGAGAGCTATAAAAATACACCAACCTTGAATTTCTGTGTATGCTTTATCTTTTCTGCTTCCTGTCTCAAATATAAACTTTCTGCTTCTTTTGCATGGCTTCTCCCTGCAATATGATGTGTCAAATTGAAGAGATTATTAGTTTATTACAACACCGTTTGTCAAAATACCACTATAGATATTCAGCTCAAATTGAACCATTACACTATTTTCTACGATCCTCATAGCAATCTACCCAATATTTCCTCCTTTAATCGAGTATGTAAGCACATTCAAAGTTACCAAACAATATCTAAAAATTCATGAACGGAATATCCATCACAATTCCTAGTCAATTCTAACTATTTTGCGAAGGGTCTTTCATACATGGATTAAAAGAGCACTTCCTAAGGAGGAAAGAAAAGGAAAAATGGAAAAAGAAACTGAAAAGACAAAAAAAACATTGGGGTTAAACAACTTAAAACGTTTCATATCCCAATGTCAGCAGCAAATTTGGCCATATAATCTACTATAAATGTGCCAAAAGAATAAAATAGCATACTTTCAGATATTGGATCAGCTACAGAAGAAATAGGGACTTTATTATCTTCAATGTAGGTCTTCTGGAGCTCTTCTAAAGCAAAATAATTAGTATCATGACTAGGAGCCTTTGACCTGGAATCATCGGCACTCAATAACCGATCCACAAAACCAGCCCTTCGATCTGCCTCACTGTCTTCTATTTTGGTCAATGATTCCCCTGAAAGTGTTCAAATATGTTAATAAAATCGAAAGCAGTGACACCTTGCTTTTAGCAATCTGATAAATATCTCTTTTATTCTTATGTTGATTTGATAGGAAATCATCAACGCATATGAACTAAACCAGAAATTAAAAGAAGATCCAGCACACTATTAGAAAAGATGCCATAACACCATTAACATAAATAACACAAAGTTGCTTGGAGTTATTTTGCATTTCTGAATAGAAAATGAATGTTTATATCATCACCTCCTTTCCATTGAAAAATGAGAGAAGAATATGGCTCAGTGACTATTAGCTGAATTGGAAGATCTGGAAACAACTGACAAAGAGCAAATGCTGCAACTCTGTTCTGTGAATCCTGTAGTTAAATCAAGGAGGTAAATAACCATTTTTAAATATTTTACCTGTAAGTCATGCATATTTACTAGAGAAGAGAAAGGAAAAAGCTCACATTCAGTCATATACCAATAACAGAGAACTAACATAACACAGCCTTAACAGAACAGACGCAACATAGATTGGGGAAATAAAAAAGGGACACAAGATAGCATGACAAAGACCAGTCCAAAAGAAGGAAGGATATATCTTAAATCACATTTGTAACTGTCAAATAAAATTTCAAGCACACTGTTAGATTACACCCTCTCGCGCAGCATACTCAGACAAGCCATTTCACACATTAATAATAAAAATGTTATTCACAATAATAAATATTAAGAAGTAAAAAAGTGAAGGTGAAGAGAGTTGGTAATATAAAATTAGCATGTTTACAGAGCACCTGAGACTTTTCATAAAAACTTTATTGAAGGATGAAACTAAACTAGTTTTCAGTACCTACCCTATATCAAAGAAAAAAGACATGTTTTTCTAAAAAAAATTGCTACCAATCCTTAGAAAATGTAGAAAATAATATTTCTAGTCCATCACCACTTCTATGGAATACATAAACCAAAAATTACGGTTGACCAATCTGAGGACCAGAAACCACGAATCAGAGTAAAAGGACTGAATTTACCATTTAAGGCATTCACTTGAAGAGAAAAAATGTTTATTTGTCATTTTCACATTCAGAACAAGTTTGTGAATCAACATGTCTGTATGCAGAAAGAATAAATGGCTAATGCATCCAAGTTTCTGGGAAGCTACTTTCCTCCAATGTTCTCCACGATTTTTCATCTTCTAATTGTTTTGACACCAATAGCATTGCACTGTTCGTTCTTAATCACAGTTTATTATCAGCATGAAGCATAAGGACAAACAAGTACCTCAGCAGATTCAAAAGCTTCTTGCTCATTAGGAAGCTGAAGGGTGATTAGCCCCCCAGCTTTTCTGCTCTTGCCCCTCCCGCTAGCTTTACGTAACACACTAACAGAATAAGCAAAACCTTTACCTTTGGCAGGTATTTTATCAAATTTTGGTGCCTCCCACCCTGATCTTTGACATAATTGATGAAGAACAGCCTTAGGAATCTTTTTTGATTCTCCCTGTCATTATTTAGATCATATCCTAAAAAAGTGAGAATGAATTTGGATATAACAAGGCCAAAGTAAAACATTTGAAGTTAAGAAAGGGATTGATAAGGCACACATATGAAACTGAAAATATAAAAATCAGGACTCATACTCAGCAGAGTTCTAAAATCATCGCGCTGCAAGTTCACAGTCATATATATGTAAAGTTAAAAAAGATGCATACTTAATACCTTATCACCAATCATCAGTAATATTAACCTCACAAGATCATTGCATTTTGGGCATTACCTTCTTCCAGATTCCATCCAATTTCTCCAAATTGTTCTCATTGTATAGTTCTTTCATCTTTTCTTTCTTCTGCAATTTTAGTACTTCAGAAGCAACAGCATCATTAATTGGAGATTCTTCTAAGAAGAAATCACCGATCTCCACATCTTCTGACATATTTTCGGAGTCACCCTTTTCTTGATCAGGCAATAAAGAAGGAACAGATTTGGTAGAAGTCTCTGTGACATTTACACTGCCTGTTGTGTCACCCAAAGTTATCACAGAGGCTGCAGAATTGCCTTCTTCATACCCAAAAGATATTATCTCAGCCTGCTCTTCAGGCATGGAACTAGTGGCTGTGGCCTCAGACACACAAGCAGATGCACGTTCATGCAAAATTTCTGATGCTAAGATATCATCTGATAATCCTGATCAGAAAAATTAAACAATTCATTACAAATAAATCAAGAGACATTTTTTAACATAAATCATAAAAAGAACTACAAATCACCTAAGGCAGATAACTCTTGCTTGAGTTTGCGGATTATACTGCCTGCCCTTTCCTGGCCCTTTTTATCCCTCTTTTCCTTAGCTTTTGTCGCTTCTAATCGTGCTGCATGGTATTCTTTTGCAATAACATCATAAGGCCTTGGTCCAGAAACCTATTAATATATGTAGAGAGAGAGAGATTGCATAAAGAATTAAATTAGACCTTGTCATAGTAACTAATTAAAATCTAAGTATCTACTATTAGGGGAGGGCGACAAAAAAGACAACAAAACTAATGCAAAATACATTCTAGAAGCTGCATCATGATTAATTATAAATGACTGAAATGTTAGTCATCAAGTGGAACTCACTTTGATTCCTTTATTTTATAATTAAAAGCTAGGGAAAGAATAAAAATGAAAAAAGAAGTTAGCAATACCTCTTTGGCTGAACCTTCATCACTTGCATCATCCTCCCAAGTTTTGGATTCATCCTGACGGACAAACTATTTGTCAAAACTATTTTAAACAAATTCCAGCAAAGGAATAAAGCATTCAATTAAATAGACCCTAAACCAAAACAGCATAGACAGCAACAGAATACAACATCAGTGACACTAGACTCTGTTCCCTTACCTCCACGTGTTGCTCCATATATTGCCGAATCCAATCTGCTTGTGATGGTTGACACGTGTTTAGAGAATCCTCATCTTCACTGCCCTTGGTTCTAACAGAAAGTCCATGTAAGTTTTCTTTAATCCTTGTCGATGCATCCACCGAAGGAGTCCAGTCTTCCTTTTCGACTGATATAACACCAATATTCCCTCCTAACAGATTAAATCGCATTATTTAAACTACAGTAAACAGAAGAGAAACAGAAAGAAAAATAAAAACTGAAGTTCTACTTCCTTTCTAATCTGCCGTAATAGTATACATATGTCCCCTATTTAACACTTGTAACTAACTACTAATAAAATATTATACTGGAAGATAAAATTTATCCAGAGATAAAGATAATAAAAATTCATAATCTTAAAACATCAGTGACGAGACGCATTAGGCATTGCACGCGATCATCACATTTTATTAGAAATTCACATACAAATGCACATATACATTTATAATATACCTCCATCTGAATGCAATGAAGTTCCACTCGAGAACTTCAGAGGAAGCTCATGTCGAGGTAAGTTCAAGCATAACCAATCGAGAGCGGTTTCAAAAGTAGCACCGTCCTACTCAATGAAAACATGTCAACTGGTCAATCAATATATTCACAAGGAAAAATAAGAAGAAGAAGAAGAAGAAGAAAATTATAAGAAAAAACATATCAAAAACTTAAATAATAGAACCTTGAGAGAGGAGAGGGCCAGTTCAATTTGATCATTAGAAAAACCTTCGCAAGAAAGCTTCTCGTAAACGGCTTTGAGTTTCTTTGCCTTTTGAGCTTTGGATAGAGAATCTTGAGGATGATTCGGATCGCTTTGTGATTGGGTGGAGTGACCGGAGTTGAGTAAAAGTCGACGGAGTCGGTTCTCGTTCTCCGCCGATATCTGAAGCCGCGGGGCAGACGATGACGATTGATTGCCTTTAGATGAAGAAGAAGAAGAAGCGGAAGTGGCTTTTCGGCTGCTTTGGTTTTGCGGCTTCTTTTTCGGGGCCATATTCTCGCTTCACTTTGGGATTGCGTTAAACGCAGTGAATGATTGAAGTGAAATCGGTCAAGAGGAAGAGAAAATTTCTGGAGCGATGACCGAAACCCTACCGTCCAAATTTCCAAAAGCCGCGTCTACTTTATAGAGGCAAAATATTGTAACCGTTAAATTGCTAACCTATTGAAGTCGGCTTTCATGTGCATTTTTCAAAAACTTGCGGTAAAAGTTTGGATCCGACGCCACAGTTGAGCACATTTCTTTGTTTGACAGGCTTAATGCAAAAATAATTGTACAACTATACGCAAAATTTCTTAGGTGTCTTAAAAAGAAGTTTTAGTTAAAAAGTAAGAGGATGTTTGTTTACTTCAGAATGATTAAGCGTTGAATGATTCAAATATTGAATGATTCAGAGGTTCTGTATGAATTAGCTCTGAATGTGACATGTTGTTTGATAATGGCTCTGAATTATTCAAAATGTACTTCTGTGCTGAATCATTCAACATTGTTTTGCTAAATCAGTCAGCACTGAATTATTCAGAGGTGCGAAACAAACGCGATGAATATTGAACGATTCAGCATTCAACGTTGAATGGTTCCATTCAGAACCAAACAAACAACCCCTAAGTATTTAACATTTTCATAGTTACACTTGGATGATGTTAAATAATATGTAACATGTAAAATATTTAAAAAAATATATTTTAATATATATATATATATATATATATATATATATAATTTGTTTATAAAAAAACTTAAATTTTTCTTAAATCTAAAAAGGATTATAAACTCTAAAAACTCTAATTCCAAACTCCTTTACTTGTGTCGATCGTCGACGATATTGTCTTGGTTGTCGTCTTTTATCATCGGTCACTTTATCTAATCGGATCTCAATGCATGACGGGAGGAATCGTCGCCTAAATCGTTGGAATCATCGCCCTTAGTAGGAATTAGTAAGTTGTTGCAATCGTCAATTTTTTACTACAATCATCGCTTGAATAATGAGGGTTCGACCGTTAGGTGTGAGCCGTTGAGATTTTGACCAATTGGTGATGGTTGTGGCTGTCAATGGTGATGGGGGATTGAAATTATAGATTTTCGGGATTTTGGGTTTTTTTATTTTTAACAAGTTTTGAGTTTTTTTAAAATAAAAATTTTAAGTGTCTTTTTTTTTAATAAAAAATTGTAATTTTACTTGCCTGATATATGTTACATAACGATCAAATTTAACAGCGATTACAGTCTAGGTATCTAAAAATGTAACATCCTTCATGCCGGGTTAGTGATTAATTTGTAAAGTTTCATCATTTGGTGATTTAAAGTAGAATGATGGAAAAGTTCAATGACTTATTTGAGTTATTTTGTGTAGGATTGAATTATAAAGAAAAAAGATTAGAAGGACAAAATGGTCTTTTTATAGCAATATAATTATTGGGGTTAGTATTATATTAACCACGTGGAAGTATAGGAGATTAAAAAACAAGCTTCCAGAGTCCTCTTCTTCATTCTTCTTCTTCATACGTGAGACCCAAGCTAAGGTAAGATTCTCTTGTTAGTGAATTTCTTGATGAATTTATGGTTGATTCATGACCATTAGGCAATAGTTAAGCTTAAAGGAAGTTTAAATTGTTTTAAAACCTCAAGATGAGAAGTATATGAAGAATTAAAGAAAGGAAGTAGAAAAGTGAAATCTTAGATTAGAGTTCATAATAAGAATTGAAAGTGAGATTTGACTTGTCATCAAGTTAATTAAGGGATAGGAAGTGTTAATAGGAATTTGAACATGTTGTAAAACTAGTATAATTTTTGCAATTACATAGGAATGACTAGATTTGGAGTTAAAGAAGTGATTATGGAATATAAATAAGTTTAAGTATGTGTATTAAAGTTAGGAGTATTAAAGGAAGTGAAATAGGAAGGTTTGAGCTGAAATAAGGTGATTTTTGAGCTCAAAATGGGATTTCTGGGCTAGGGGAATCGGTACCCATTCAAGGGGAATCGATCCCCCCTCAAACGAATATGAATTTTCAGAATGCTAGAGGGGAATCGATGCCCCCAGGGGGGAACCGATTCCCCCATAATGAAAAAAAAAGAAAGAAGAGAGACTAAACTATCAATCCCTTAAATTGGTAGGCTATTAGAGGTTAATTTCAAAACTTAGGCATCTGATAATCATCTTGAAAATTTTGCTTATATAGATATTGAGCCTAATCGAGTTCCGGAACCATCGACAAGTAGGATCAATCGAGGGAAAGACAAAGAAATCTAGGTGAGTGCATATGCATAGCATGAATATGTATTTTATTCAGTTCTAGACTTGTGATAAGTCTAGATTCAATATTTTGATACATGATCGTAGTTCATATGATGATATATGACATGAATCCATACCATATGCATTATGGGACATGAATATGAAAGAAAAAGTTACATGAGTTATATGATAAAGGTATGGAAATAATATGTCTACGTGATATAAATTAGATAAATTGTGAAAGCCCATGTTATGTAAATAAGAACTATAGGTATAGTTGACATGCCAAGGGTAGAGGGTCTATGTGGTCCTTCGGAACATATATGTATTCTTTGGAACATGTGTGAGGTCTGGTGAGACACATACTTGATCCTTGGTATATGTATATGATTCTTAAGGAATGATATGTGGTCCTTCGGGACATATATGTATTCTTTGGAACATGTGTGAGTCTGGTGAGACACATACTTGATCCTTGGCATATGTATATGATTCTTAAGGAATGATATGTGGTCCTTATGGATATTATTATATGGCACTACGGTGCAATTCTACGTAGCACTCCGGTGCAATTCTACGTGGCACTTAGGTGCAATTATATGAGCTGTGGTGACAGCATAGTGCACAACCTCACAATACTCACATACCTTAGGTTCTCTGTATGGTACCATGGGCTAATGAACTTACTAAGGCAAACTTATGAATGTGAATTTGATAAGTATATGTGTAAGAAACATGGTTTTGGTTATTGCATTGTTTACATACATCTTATTATTGCAACCCATCTCATTTTGGTAATTACTTTATATTTATTGATATTATTATTATATTGCCTCACTAAGTCGATGACTTAGTGTGTGAGTGTTTCACACGTAGGATCCGATAAAGTAGACGATCGAGGTTAAGCAATTGGACAACATTACTCCTGCAACTATCAGATCAGAAGCAACTTAATCAGTAGGTCATTTTGTTATGAAAATGGATGTTGGCATGTAATTTTAGAGTTAAGTTGTGTATGCTCTGAATATTTTGGTAAACTTATATTACCATATGTATATTATTGTATTTTTCGTAATATAAGTTCAAGTATTTTATTATTATTTGTAATGAGTTGTGTTTTAAAAGTCAATGTAATATCTCTGACTAGTATTCGGGTTGGGATACGGGTTGGGGGTGTTACATTTAATGGTATCAGAGCTATGATTTAGCCGATTCTAGGCATAAACCAGAGTCTATAGAGTCTTTAAATGGAATACATGCCAATAAATAGTGAGAACTTCTGATCTGGTATAGTATGAGTATGTTGTTTTGCTAATAGAACAATGTGTTTATTCTTATTAGATGTCCGGACATAATAGCTCCCGAAGTGAAGCGGAAGAAGATAGGCCTGCTGAAAGCAGTAATTCACCTGCCCTGGCCATGCAAGGTGAAGAACAGACATCTCAAAGAGTGCCTGTGCAAGATCAATATATGTTCTTCAGAACGTTAGACGTTATTCTAATGCGTCTTCAACCTCCTGCTCCATCAACTCAAATGATGAATGTAGAAAAAGAGTTGAGAGGTTTAGGAGTTTCCGAATTTAAGGGAGAAACCGAAGAATGTCCGGTTGCGGCAGATCTTTGGTTAAATGATTTAAAAATCATGTTGGATGGTCTCCACTGTTCTGAAGTGGAGAAGTTAGATGGAGCTGTCTCGTTGTTGACGGGTCAGGCGATAATATAGTGGACTAACGTCACCATGAGGATGCCCAGTGACCAATTGACTTGGTCTTTATTCTTAGATGAATTTAAAAACAAGTACATTGGAGATCAATTTATTCGACAAATGAAGCAGGAGTTTTTGAATTTGAAACAGATGAACCGCTCTGTATATGAGTATAAATGTGAGTTCAACAAGTTGAGTAGGTTTGCATCCGAGCATGTGCCTACTGAAAAAGAGGCTTGTGAATGGTTTGTGGAGGGTTTACGCCCTAGATTGAAAGCGATGCTGATAGTATTGAATTTGTCCTCGTTCCAAGAGGTGATCAATCGTGCCAAGGCTCTTGAAAGAGCTTAGAATGAGAGATTTGGGGATTTTAGAGTTCAGACATCAAAGAGAACGGGTGTTTCTTCTAGCTCAGTACCATCAAAAAGGGGAAGAGACTCAGGATTTCGATCACAAGCTAGATCAGAATCAGTTGCATCGTCTGCTAGGGGAGCAAGTCAGGCAAGACCTAGACAGACGCAGTCAGTGGGATATGGTATTGGGAGATCTACTCCGAGTCAAGCGAGACAGTGTCAGCATTGTGGGAAAAACCATTCTGGGGCTTGTCGGATGGCTGCTGGGACTTGTTTTTGATGCGAAGATGCCGGACATTTTATCTGGGATTGTCCATTGATAGTTGGTGAGCCTGCACCATCTGAAAGAGTTGGTTCTTCCTCACAAAGAGGACGAGGAAGAGGCAGAGGAAGGAACCCGTCTGAATTCTCTGCTCAACCTGAAGTTCGATCAACTGCACGGGTGTACAATCTAAAGACAAGTGAAGACCGTGATGACCCTGATATTATAGCAAGTACTTTTCAGTTGTACGATAAATTAGTATTGGTACTGATTGATCCGGGTTCTAATTATTCTTATATTACAAGTAAGTTAGTAAAGGAATTGAGGATTCCCTTAGAAGCTACAAGTAATGAGATTATAGTAACAACTCCGTTAGGCCATAGTGCTCGGGTGAATAAAGTCTATAAGGGGTGTCCCATAAAGGTTCAGGGAATTGAATTCCCTGCTAATCTGATGGAATTACCCTTTGACGAGTTTGAAGTGATTATGGGAATGGATTGGTTGTTCCGTTACTATGGAGATGTTAATTGCA